GGCATGGGTTCCATTCTGTGTGCCAGAGGAGGTATTGTGGCCAAAATGTTGACCTGGAGGAGCGGGTTCAGGGAACCCCTTGCCAACAGCATGCAGTGATGCACGGAGAATGATTTTTGTTAGTAGAGGAAATCATGGAATGGCTTGGGTTGGAAGGGACCTTAAAGCCCACCGGTTCCAACCCCATGCCGTGGGCTGGCTGCCAGGGCCCCATCCATGGCCTTGGACACCTCCAGGGATGGGACAGAGAAGTTTATGAACAACTGTAACAGAGAGAGTGCTGTGTGGGCAGGTCTGGGTTCTATCTGTGCCATCCCTGAGCCAACATGGGAGGACGAGAGCTATGTGCATGGGGCTGTGCTGGTGGCACCACCTCTCCAACACGATTAGTGCAGGGCTAGGACAGGGCAGAGTGTTGGACCAGCCATCGCTACCGTCCCAGCAGCATCAGAGCAGGTTTTGGAGCAGGTTCTCAAACCCAGGTTGTCCTCACGGCAGCGTGTGTTGTAGCTTTCCAGAAACTCTTCTTTTTTAAAGAAAAGAGTAGGAAATTCTGTTGGCCGCGAGTCTCTGCACTTCTTGCTTGCTGTCATCACCAAGTTTTTAGCATTGCAGTGACTGAGTGGGACCAACAGCCAAAAAGCCACTGAAGAAGGTTGGAGAGGAATGCCCCAGTAGTCACACAAGCCCATGGGGACATGCATGGTCCTTCCACTGCTGCCACTGAGCAGCCTGGGCTGTGGGTGCACACGGTCAGTCAGCTGTCATGGACTGTCAGTTGTAAGCCAGCCAAGCTGCTGGCCCATGGGATGGATGCAAACATCAAGCACAAGGAGTTGGAAATTTCTAATCTATATTTTTTTTCCTGGCTGATCAAGTTGCCTTGAGAGCAGAATTGGTCTTCCTTTGGGAAATGAGACCCAGCATCAACGCGTTGCTCTCTCCTCCCCTAGCCGTACCCTTGGAACACCTTGAATTCAAGGCTTCATTTCAAAGCTGCTTTTCAGCATGGCAAAACAAGCCGATGTCTCAGACAAAGAGAGGAGCCAGGCGGCGTTCGGGGTTTCCTTGTGCCGTGTGTGACACAGTTTTAAATAGATTTGCCCTGCTTGGATTGGTTCTGGTTGGAAAGCGAGTACTGAAATGAGAGGTCATAGGGGAGAGTTACTATGGTAATTGAGTAGTATCACCAGTAGTTTTGCTCTTATGAGCATTAAAGCACGTAATAATAGACAAACAACAGTGGTTAAAGCAAGCAGGTAGGATTACTATGTTCTTTTGTCAGAAGTATATAATGTCTCGTAGTCAGTTTTAAAGACTTCTCAACCCCCAAATCCACCCAGCAGTCACCTGCTGAGTAATTTTGTATGCCTAATCTCTAGCCCTTAACTACAAGCTTTCTGCTAATTTGAGGCAAATGGGTATTTTTGACACTAAATAGGGCAGTAAAGAATCCCTGACCTAGAAAAACTCCATTCCGAGGCACTGAGAGCAGAAAAATATTCTTTCAGCATCCTTCTGAGACCTTTGCAATGACAAAATAGCTTTGACTACGCTGTGTCGCAGCCTTCGATTAATGGTTTGCAGAAACTTGCTGAACATCCCCACTACAACTTCCCCCATAAAACTTGTCACTTCAGATTGCCATCAGCCACCACAACAATAATCATTTCATGCCTATTGCTAATTGCAAGCACAGCTGAGGCTCAGCGGGGTGCTCTTGCACAGTCCCAGGCCTTTATACCAGCCTCAATCTGTTGTATGGCACTTGTTCACACACAAAAAAACTACCAGTAAAGGCAGAAAGAGGCAGAGTCACAGGTTCCTTGTAATCCCTCTGCTACCCTGCTGACAGCCCAGCCCTATAAGCATTCCTGGTTTTGTCCCGCTCTTTACAAAAGCTGAAGTGACCTTAAGCTACTAGTATGTAAGCTTTTGAATGAAGAATACAGCTCCTTCAGGTGCCTTAAGAAGCAGTGTTGCATCTGGCTTACGAGATTCTGTTTGCCGCACCCCTGGGGTGAGCTGCGGCTTCCTGTAACATGTAAAATATGAGTGTGAACTCAAGGTTCATGGCAAGGAACAGGAGGTCATGCTTCCATTCAGCTCGCACCAAAGAGAACGGGGGTTTGCAGATGTTCCTGGCTATGTGTAATGACACCACCTCCCGGAAAGCAGGAGCCCAGCACGGGGTTCTTTTTTCTGATGAAATGTGCCACACTCAGTGCGCTACTTGCAGATTTATTCATATCAATTTTTGCCATTTATATATTCAGAGACAAGCTTGCTATTTCGGCAACTTATTGATCATGCATTTGCATTCCAAGAAGGAGAAGAAAAAAACAGTGAGCCGATGGCTTGGGCAGGTTGGGATGCACGGGCAGCACTCACAGCCCTGTGCTGCTTCTGCTGTTGGCCTGGAGCATCCCAGCTGCCGCGATGCACCTGGCAGTAAGGGCTGCTGTGAACAGGAGGGGCTAACCCCAAAGCGGGGCTACATTCCTGGCCGTGCAAACGGGACATCTGCTTGCTGTGACCAAGCTCTGGTGCCATCCTAAGGGCGTTTGTTTGCATTTCCTCTGCTGTTACCCATCCCTCTCCCTGTGCCCCTTGGGCTGAGTGCAGGTAATCTACGGGGATGGCAGATATCATCTGCAACAGGGTGGGTGGCTGTAGGTTGAAGCTGGGCTCCATGGGTGCATGGGAGCATCACTCTTTATGAGCCACAGTGAGTTTTGAGAAGCACATTTATACTTTGGTGCCTGGGAATGCATTGCCTTGGGCTGTGCCTTCTGCACCTCGTGCGTGGGGACAAGACCCAAGGAGCCCCGTGTCCCAGGAGGACATCAGAGCCCACTGGTGTTGCACTTTTTTGTCTGAAATGATCTCGTTCCCATTCTGGAGCATTTGGTTTTGTTGTTATTGTGTTTTTTTTAATAATATAATCATATGCAAATGTTATCCTCTTTGGAGGGTTAGTCATGAATCAGAGGGCTTGTGCGTCTTGTAGCACATTAACACTAGTGATAGCTAAAGGGAACATTTAATTTATGGGCTAACTTATTTTTATGAATATGCAGGGCTTAAATTCAGCAGTTGGTGCGTGCTCTATGAAGTGACGTGACGGTTTTGTGTATCAAGATCAATGAATTACACTTTGTCTTTTTTTCACAAAGCAGAAAGTCTTTGGAGTAACTCAGCTCTGAGGAGGAGAGCTCCTTTCATGCCGCTGAGCAGTGTGCGAGGCTGAGCCCCCACGGGGTGGGATTCAGTTCTGTTCCCCATCTGTGCAGGTGTGTGTGGCACAGGACAGACATGGCAGGACCTGCCTCTGTCCCATTGCGGGGCTGCACAGAGCTTCATGTCACAACTGAAGCCCCATATGGCACCAGGACCTTAGGGACAGACAGCTCAGCCGACAGAGCTCCTTCTTTCCTCTCCAAATTAGCTTCATTTGTGCTCACAGCACTTGCCAGGTCCCCATCCTGGAGATGGAGAGCCAACAGAAATCTCAGCCCCAAGCTGGCCCAGCAGGAAATCACCACTTGGCATGTCTTTGGTGGTTCTTCCGTCCCTTTATTTCCTCCATTTTATTAAGAGGTTCTGTAGAAATAGTAGTACAGTTAGAACAGAGTTTGTAGCAATAGGAGGTTAATACTATTTTTTTCTCCATCGTGATATATTCAGCTCCATGTGGCAGACAGGACACTAGTTCCTACACTGTACAGCTCTGGGCTGATGAGGCACAGTGTAAGTGCTGTGCCATAAATCATAGAATAGCCCAAGTTGGAAGGGACCCATTAAGGATCATCGAGTCCAACTCAAGAAATACCATAAAGGGGGAAATCTCTTCCCCATGCATCATGCCAGGCCCTGGTGGGGGGTGGCAACTACTAGGTGTGTTGTCTCCTGGTTTGATAATCCAAGCCCAAATTTTGGCTGCTTTGTGTTCTTCCAGCTTGTATTTGCTGTGCTCAGCCTTGTGTCAGCTCCTGCATGCAGACACCAACACTGAGGAAAAGGTGCAGTGATGGGAGGAAATAATGCCTGAGTGAAATTGATACAAGGCTTTAGGTTAGTTAGGAAGGGGCTTCATTGCCAGCTAATCTGGATGGGGCTTGATTGGGATTTTTGTAATTTGATCTGTGTTTTTTTTTTCTCTTTAACTCGTTCTGGATGAATTTTCACAGCGCTGCAGTACAGGTTTTGATCTGTGCATGTTTAAGAGTAAACAAGAGGACTATTCCTCTGTTTAGCTGTGATGGTCCTTGGGTACAATCCATTTGGGAACCATCTGTGGTGCTGAGCACACAGAGAGGTGTTGTGGTCCCCACCACACCTGGCCCTGCTTCCGTCCCTCTCAAGGGCTGTGCCAGCCCTGCTGAGTGGGGCACTGAGCTGCATCCTGCACTGCAGGGCTGGCAGGCTGCTACCACGCAGCTGCAAGCCTTTCTCACAGGCAGGCAGCAAAATTTCAGCCCCTGGAGGGGCCCTGCAAGCTCAGCGGCTTGAGGCAAGCTCATTTGCTTGCTGCTTTGCCATCTTTCATAACCATGAGGCCAAAACCAAAGCATTTCCCATAGATGCCTGCGCTATCATGCCCTTGTCCTGCAGCTCCCCAAGGCTGCTCGAGGCGACACGTGAGCGGTAAGTACCTGAGCGTGGTCCTAAAGGCAGGGCTGTGCTCACCGGGGCAGGGAACGGGTTAAAAACTGGACTGGGCCAAACTCCCACCACTGCTGCCAAGTCAAGTCAATGGCAAAATAGGATTACAGAAACCGCACAGCGTTGCTGGTGGCCGCTGCCCCCGCGAGTGAGATTCGCTGTGGTTGTTACTCAAAGTTAAAAGCTTGTGCATGGAAAATCTGTGTAAAAGAGGGTGCCTGTCTCCCCCAGAAGTCTGTCACATCCCATTAGCGGGCTGGCGGTGGGGAAGGTTGGTTCCGCTGCGTGCTTGCTTGCAGGGCGCGGGTGCTGGAGAAGTGCTGTCTCTCTTGCAGCAATGGTACACCAGCTCGATGAACGTCGTCTGCACCTGGCTGACGGACCGCATGGACCTGCAGCTGCACATCTACCAGCTGAAAACGCTCATTAGGATAGTGAAGGTAACACCTGCTGTGCTTTCGTGAGCGTCTTGCTGCTGAAAGGGGCACGTGTGTGTGCAGTGTGTTCCGATGGGGAAGCGGTGGTTGGCAGAAAATGCAGTCCTTCGTTCAGATGCTTAAAAATGAAGAAACTTATCAGATAGATAAGCTGGAACTTGAGATGCACATGCATGCAAAACACGTGTGGAAGTAAGCTCAGAGTAACTGCTTGCATGAGAAGAGGGAAAATAGTGCTATTCAGCCCTACCTGTACAAAAAGCACACTGAAACCACTGCTCTCCGGTGCTCACACGGGTTAAATCCAACCCAACTCCTTTTAACACTGTTTTCCTAGAAACATGCAAGCCCGCCTATGGCTTGTGATTATCATCAGAATGCAAATGAGGATTGTTCTCATAGCTAATTGAAGTTGTTTCTTTTACAATGGGTGTATATAATCAACTCTTAAGAGATCCCAGAGGTGAGATAACATACCCTGAAAGTAACGTTTTTTTCTCTGAGTGCACGTGTATGTGTACGTGTGTGTCTTGGGCTGATGATAATTATTTCAGTGTGAAATCACAGTGGTTTACATGAAATAATAAGATCACAGAAGGGGGTAAATATATTTTTGATCATTTTAGGTTCTATCTAATGCTTTTTTTGTCTAGTATTTTATCATGTTTATGGTCTCGTGTGCAGTGAACACATTGAAGGCATGAATGAATTAAAACTGAGCAGTATTAGTGTGCTTTTCATAACTGAAAACAACAGCAGAGGCAAATGATTTCTCCTTGTCAGCTAGCTGAGGAAGGCTTTCTTCCTTGTGCTTTATTTATACCAGTATTAATCTCAGAAGCAGCTACAACACATCCAAGGACTTTCTGAAAGTGTATAGCAGTAAATAGTTTCCACGCAGAGCACAGAGCATAATGAATGGCACTCAGAGGCCAGAGTTTTATCTCACAGGGTCAAGAAGTTTTAAAACAAATAGAAATGCAAGGAAATTAACCACAGTAATGAGGGAAGTACAGCTGACTGCGGAAATGCCATCCCAGCTTCGGAATAAGGTGAAGAAAGAGAGATTTGAGGAATGGATGCCGTGTGCTTATCTCTATACATGAATAACTTTCTCAGGTATCCTGGACTTAGCTGATTTAAACTCAGTATTGAGGCAAGATTATTTAATGCAGAGCATTCCAGGAGCATGTAATCACGTCTGCAGCTACAGGCAGTAAGCGCTGAGCTGCATGAAGAAAACTAACTTCAATTACAGGCAGCTGAATGCATCTAGAAGCCAGGACAGTTGGTTTGAGTAACACTATATAGCTTCCACGTGCTTTTAGACCCCAGCATGCCTTATGGAAAGCTCCATCAGAGCTTCTTAGAGTGGTGGCCCCAAAGCATGGGGACACGGGGACACAGGGGCACAGGCTCTCTCCTGTGGCAAAGCCGGGGAGCCAGGGGCAGCCTGAGCTCTGTGCTGTCTCCTCCTCCCCTCATCCCTCTGTCTTCCTTAGAAAACGTACCGGGATTTCCGATTGCAAGGCGTGCTGGACTCCACCTTGAACAGCAAAACCTACGAGACCATTCGGAACCGGCTGACAGTAGAGGAGGCCACGGCGTCGGTCAGTGAGGGCGGAGGGCTGCAGGGGATCACCATGAAGGACAGCGATGAGGAGGACGAAGAGGACGACTAGGGCAGCTGGCCCCACGTCTGTGCATGTACCTCGTCCATAACTCAGTTAGCCACATTAGGAATTCTTCTGTCAGCTCTAAATGCCCATGAGAAGTTTACCAATACAAATGCCATGTTAGCTGTGTGGTAATAAGGTTAGCACCTCTCTTCGATTCATTGGTTTCCTGATTTCATATCTGTATGTTCATAAGCAATATGGAGCACCATTGTTTAATACTGTTAATGGAAAATTACATAGAAAACATACTAGGTGTGTCCCTGTTATAATTAAACAATGCTTCATTAATGTACTGTATATACATTGATGGTAAATTGTTGTGAAGATGAGTGAATCGAGTCCTTTCATTTCTTTGTTTCTCTTCTGTGGATGCCAACTGCTTAAAATTAATAATAATAAAAAAAAAAACAGCTTTGTTTTTAAAAGAAAAATGAGGCAATTACAAATGATTTTTTGTTCTCTCTGTTCATTTAAAAACCAGAAAACAAACAAACCCAGACAGCCGTTTGAATCATTCTGCATCCTTGTTAATATCCCAGGCTCTTCCCTTCAATATGCAGTTAACTCCATGAAGGCTACATCCCAAAGGATTAGTCATTCTAATTGCCACACCAGATTAATCCTATCATTATGGATATATCATGCCACATTACAAGTCCAAAGCAGTTGTTTTATGTTGACATTTGCTCCTCTAAATGTTACACTTTTGTTTAAATCTCAAATAACCGTGTATGTACAAAGACAACTTTAATTACAACCTTAGACTATACAAATGTGTTTATAATAATATATTGAATATTTATTTCAGTAGATTGTAACCATAATTTACAACTCCTCTGTCTAACAATGGTTTTTATATATGTCATGTACATTGCATTTTGAGCAGTAACTGCATGTCCATCAGTCCCCCTTCCGGAGCTTTTCTTTCTGTGTAAAATAGTGATAATCCATCTTGCTTTTTTTGCCTTATACAAGCCGACAGTTGTAAAAGTGTGAGAACTGTGGCTTCTCAATAAATAACTATTCAGATGTCCTAAGAATAAATTATGGAGTCTTTTTATGTCTGCCTTAGAAAAAAAATAAAATAACAAGCTGAGATGTAAGAGCCCCCACCTCTCGGAATAAAGGCATTTTCTTTTCTCATGGGTGTTTTTATAGTTTATTAATTTAGAAGATGGTTTCCCATTTTATTCCCAAAGGTCAGGGTGGAACCACACTGTGTATTCCCCAGGTACACGGGCATTTTGGCTGTCACCACCCCAGTTGCTTCCACCATTATCTGCACACTGCACCCTGTCACCTGTCTTTGGATGTCTAATTGATGGTCTGCTGTGGTACAGCCCCCACAATTACACGGTCATTAGCCTTGTCCAACACTTACCTCACACAAATAGGCTTCAGTTTGTATCTTCTCCTAAAGCAGCCTGCAGGGCATTTACAAACACGGGACACATGGACAGACTCCCAGCTGAAATTGAAAAGCAGGTATGAGAGAAGCAGAAGAGCTGATGTCCTTCACCCCCACAGATGGCAACCTGTTGCCACCCTGGGGAATGAGGAAACAAACTTCACCACCCACAAATAAATGATGGGCATATGCTGGAGAGCACCCTGCCTGGCATAAGGAAGCATCAAACCAAAGCATCTTCCAGGAGTCACAGACACTCCCCAGGCAATGGGAAGAGATAGAAGGTGTTGGGTCCCAGTCGGGGCTGGGATGGCTGTGGAGCCCCACAGTGCTGAGTTTTGGGTCCGTATCCTCCATGGCAGAGTTTACCCAAAGCTCTGGAGGTTATCTGCTGCTCCACCTGGATCGCCATGCCTGACACATCCAACACCCACCTGCCCACGATGACCTGTGTGCACCACCTCCTTTGGACAGGGACATCAGTGGACTCTTTGCTCCCAGTGGCTGGAGGCCATGCACAGTTAGCAGCACTTGCATGTGACAAGCCATGTGATGCACAAGTATAGGGAAGCTACAAACCCCTGCTGTAACCCAACAAATCACTTACTGATTTTTGCCCACAGTGCAGGCAGAGGGGAGAAATACCTCTGGGGACCACAGCCTTATAGACATATCTATTTATCTGTCTATTTTTGGGGACGTGATTTAGTGGACACAGTGGTGATGGGTTGGTGGTTGGACTGTGTGATCTTAGAGATCTTTTCCAACCTTAATGATTCTATGATTCTATCCTGACCTCTCTATGATCGGGGTCTTGAAGCACACCCTGAAGCCCACCTCAATCCAAGCTCCTGATCTATGCTTATGCACACTCGTGTCCTTCTCTTGCTCTCCTTCTCCTGCCCCAGATACTGCTACGAACAGCTTCAGCTCCAAGAGGTGGCAATGGGAAGACCTTACTTGGGGTGGTCAACAGAGCAGTAACAAAAAGCACCAGGGAAGATCCAAATTTGCAGCTCTACTCCCAGTCATGGAGAGCAGAGTGAGAGAAGCAGCTTGATTCTGCTGTGGAACAGGCTCCCCCTATTTTTTTTAATACATGAAATATTTATTGGGTGAAAACACAGCCCACTTCCACCTGCCACCTTCAAAAACAGTGAGCCCTGCTCAGTTTTTTTGAATGAAGAACGTGGGCGCAGCCTTCGGGAGCTGCTCCCTGCTGCACATCACTCCACACAGGTGCTTCCCTGAGATGGCAGTGATGGACACGTCTCTGGGTTTCTGTCATCAGAAAGGATCCTGTGACAGCTTTGCACATATCCTCAAACCCCAGCACAGCAGCTCAGAGACTCTGCAATAACCCAGAGAATATAACTGGCTTGAGCACATCACCACAACAAGGAAGCATCCAAACTGGTTTGGTTTTGTCTGAACATGGGGCTTAAAGTCCCCATGGTCATGCACTATGCTTTGGTTTGGCCTCAGGTCCCTGTAGGGCAAAACTGCAGCTTGGGCAGCGTCTAAAAGGCTTTGCTGATGGATGGGAGCACTCTGGCAAACCCAGCTAGGAAATGCAAAGGTCTGCTGCTTGTTTCACTTCAACCCATCGCTGCGACAGAACAAGATCCAACAGTCAAAGGACTTTCTGCCAGTACAACTGCACCTCGATGAAGAATCTGCCAGTACAGTTATGTCAATCAGTTTTGGGGAAAGAGGAAAATTTCATTCCTCTGCCAGCAAAATTTTAAATGATAGATCAGGCCAAAACTTCTCTCATATTTACAGAGAAGTCCAGCGAAAATATCCTTTGACAGACTTACTTAAAGCATGTGGCATGGAGACTGAAAATGCTATCAACTATTTGACTGACAAGTGTCAGCAGCTGTTCATCCAATTTGTTTTATATTTCAGCAACTAACAGATTCTTTCCCCTCTGCTGTAAAGCATGTCTCTTGGCCCATAGGCATCTTAGAAATTGCTTTTCTGCCTTTCCAGTGACCAAAACGTCAAAAATATTAGAAGACAATTTGGTTTCAGAAGCATAAATAGGCACGCAGCTAAGCAAAGATGATTTTGTCAGTGTTCAGTATGTGTTCTTTTTAAAAAGTCACAGCAAACCTAAGGCAAAAATTACTCCTCTAAGCTTAAAAAAAAAAAAGCCAAAGCAAACAAAGCCCCCAATAAATCAGTACAGGTTAAACCACAAAGGAAAAAAGCACTGATGGAATGGCCAAGCAGAACACTATTCAGCTATACTCCACCCTCTGCACTTCGTGAAGTTCAATACTACAACCGTCATCACCAGTTTTTGCTCAGAAAAACTTCTCCATGGTGTCACGATCCAACACAGCCACCTCCATGTCAAGCTGAGGAGAGTCCCCCACACCACTCACAAAGCTCAGCCTCCTTCCCCTTTGCTCCAGCGACGCCTTCAGGACCTATCTGATGCCTGAGTCTGCATAAGATAAGTTGCAATTACTGAATTACAAGAGCAGTTACAAATTACAAATTACAATTCTGAACTTGTGTGGCTATAAAGCCAGTGTGACACCTCTCTCCATAGAGCTGCATTCAGCGGTGGTCTCTTTATCCAAGTGCACTGAGGTTCCTGAGCTGAACACAGAGCGCTATTTTCTTCAGCCGTTCTACAAGATACATATTCCATTGCAAGTTGTAAATCTGCATTTGTTGTAACTATGCAAAATATGGGAGAAAAAAAGTGCAGAGATTATATGCAATCTGCCAGCAGAGTTGTGTGCCATGAGGAAAATGCCTCACAGGTCAAAACAAAGAAAAACACTGAGCAACAAATTAGTTGCAGGCAGTAGCTAATATGGAGATCAAAAGATTAAAATCAACATACAACGATGAAATCACTGGAATAATAGGAGCACTTAAGAAGATTAAGTCAATAACAGAGTCCAGCAGTAAAAAAATAAGATTTTGATTATACTGTAAAATTTGATATTGGAGAGCAAAAGCAATTACAACCACGGCATGCTTTGCTCTCCCCGCCTTAGACCATCTTGGCTCATTTCCTATGCAAGGAATACAGTTGTTGAAATAAACAGAAATGTTATGACTCGAGTGTTCGATTCAAAAACAAACCAGGTGGTCAGATCAGATTGGGGACTGACAAGAGGGGTCTGCACGGCGAGGACTTGTTGCAGATCCTAGAGGACGCGACAGCTGGGGGGGAACAAAGGCCGTCCTGCTTAGGACTGTGTTCAGCTGATCCCAGGGGTCCCAGGCTGTCAGAGCCTCCCATAGGCACAGGAACCACAGCCACCTTCAGCAGGGACACGGCTCAGTCAGTGCACAGCCCATTATTGGGTGTTTTTATGGAATTTGTGGGTATTCTTGAGCATTTGGGGAATACTTGGGTCACACACTGAAGTTTTTTCCTGCAATAAGCAGGTCTGGATTTCCAGTTTGAACTGCTGGGGGAATGTTTCAGTGGTTCTTTCAGCTCACATCCCGTGGGGCTGAAATCACACAGACAAAAAAAGAGATTTTTGATGTGAAGGGTTGCAAAGCAACAGCTCCACCTCTCAGCCACCATCAGCCCAAGCAAAGGCAAATGTAAATATTGACCAATGTGACCCATGGTACAGCCAGTTGGACAACACCGAGTGGGGAGCTGCAAAATGACTGCAGGAATGGCAGCTGTAATTGGCTTTGGAAAGGTTCTCCCTCTGTTTGATTTTTTTTTCCCTTTGAAAAGCATGGAATTCTGAAAATGAGATGTTTTTCTACCTCATTAAGAAGAGAATAATTCAAAACACGTGGGGGTTGTCCCACTTATCTTTTTTTTTTTTTTTTTGGCCATCCTTCTTTCAAGTGAAAAAGGGAAGGAATGGAAACACAAAACGGGAGTGGGCTTCTACCCATTCTCACTGCTTTTTGCTCCTTTTTCTGAGATGTTTTCAGTAGGAAAGTGAGAACAAGGCCATCCCCCCATTATAT